GACTAAATGTTCTTTTAATGCTCTTGAATTTTGAAACTTATCTCGAAGGTGTGGGATGATTTTTATTTTTTGTATCGATAAACTACTGATGCCATATTGGATTTTTTTATTTCAAGTGTGTTCCACGAGTACAATCGAGAAAAATTCAATGCTGCACCATACGTTGAATTATGATAATATTGTAAAGTTCATAAAAAGAACACCAAAAGCTAATTGCAAAGTTGCGGTGAAAAAAATATGGCGGATTTTTGTAGTTAAAATTTTACACGAATTAATAAATTGCGACTTCTCTTTTTTAATTATTTGTTACCTTTTTAATAATTTTAGATATGTCTAAGGATGTATTACAATGTACAATCAACAGCCCATCAAGTACATTGACGTATCTTGTTCCGTTGCAATGGAGGCGATGTATGTTGTTTAAATTCTTTTATTTGATCGAAGAACGGAAGAGAACCCTTGCGCAATTGGCCATACAAAATCATAATAGTGACGTCATTGGTCTATCAAAACATTGAATCTCTAGAGACACAACATCGAAATTTCACAGGATAAGTAAGCACTATTCACAAATACCAACGATCATTGACGTCAGTATCATTATTTGTTACATTCGTTAATAGCCTGCAGAAGAAAAGTTGATAAACGTTTGCATTACTGAGCAAAATGTCTGCCACGCATCAATTGACAAAAGCACAATTTTCGCTCGAAAATGTTAGCCTGATATCTCTTTAGCCCGTGCTTTACAAATAATTATAACTCATTATTAAAAAAAAAAATTCCTCCAAAGCTAGCTCCGCTTTTATTTTCCTATACTTTCTTATCAATCACAACAGTGACACTCTCTTTTTACGATCCATGTCGCTACGTAGTTTAAAAAGCACGGTTGACGATCGTCAAAAGAATGGTCACTCGAACCGTGTCAGTGAGATGCCTTGCCGCACGAAATCGCATCGTAGTACTTCGCGTCGCAGTTTCCCGCGTTGCAAATTCGCATTGCGCATGGAAGTCCACATCAAAATGAATAATATGAGCCCAAACATAAGGTAGCTGAGGAGTTCCTCTCATCTGTCTGCTATTTCCATTGTTAGATCAGTTCTAGGTCTTCAAAGAATTTTACTTTCATTAGAATTACATCTATGTGGCAAGTTTCAATAAAATATAATACCAAATATACCATAAATGGGATTCATATCACTTAAACGTGATATATCTACTTCAAAGTTGAATGAGACCACTACTTAGGTTTTCCCTTATCAACAAAAAAAGAATCATCGAAATCAGTTCACAAATGTCGGATTAGTCGCGTAATACACAGACTCAAAAATACAGTCGGATTGAAAATCTCCTCCTTTTTTGAAGTCGATTAATAAATAATAATTGTAATTGCAACTAATTATCATTGTTTGGTCGCGATATCTCTTAGGTTTTGATGATACCTTGATGATACCTTTACTTCTAAGAAGGTTGACATCTTTAGACAAACTTGTGAAGTCCTAGTAAAAGTAGTAGAAGTTTTAGTGGCAGTAGAGCCTTTTGCCGCCAAGCCGTGATGTGAACGTTACTGCGTTCCGGTTTTGAAGGATGGCGGTGCTGGTGAAATTGCAGGCACAAGGGACATATCAGTCTATGTCTAGGGCGATAGATGCAGTGGCAGTGCCCCTCAGATCTTTGCGAATTAAAGCTCTAACGTGTTTGGTGTCACTTACCACTAGACCCACGACTTCTTCGTCCGGTCACTTGGTGTAATAAGGAAAAGTTCCCAACCCACACTTGATCTGATAGTGAGACCTATAATAATATAATAATAATAATAACGCACACACTCAACATAGCCCCGAACTAGGGAAACCCTGTGTCGCGGGTGCCATGAACACATACATAGACCGCCACAAATTACACCCAAACTCACGAGAGAACAATAAATGTAGGCCATACAAACATTTCTCCCGGCCCGGAAATCGAATCTGGGACCTCTGCGTGGCAGTCCGGCGTGGTATCCATTCGGCCACTGAGGCAGTTACATATAACGGATTAGTATTTAATGATGATGATTGAAGACCGAATTGTTTGTATTTTATTTTATTCGAAACAACAACAGCTATTAATAACGATTTACGTTGCATATTTTTAGGCAAAGCTAGTTAGCGCCAATTACAGTTGTCCACAGTTTCACTTTCAAAAATCTAACTCATGGTAAAAGTAAGGTAAAAGTTGACACCTCAAAAAGAAAAAAAAAAACAAATACAAAAATACCTACAATAATGAGCAAAAATGTAAAAAAAAACAAAAGTAAAGCGATGTGAAGTGTGCAATCCTAGTTCATAAATTTTTTGATTAAAATACGCATGATTCGCATCCTGTTTTCTACTTCCAGGTCGCAAAGTTTTCAAACTTCGAATCGTTGTCGAATTTTACCTTCCTTCACTATTCCTAAGTTGGTTCTATTGGTCGGCACTACTACCAAAATTCTTGAAAAGAGAGGACGTGTCCACAAATTCCAAATCACTTTCATTTCCTTCTTGTGAAACTTCACGTCGTTACTACGAGTATTAAAATTTTATAGTTATATAGTCCCTTTTTGGACGAGTATTGTGTTATTTAGTTTTATAGACAGTGTTTTATAATAATTGTAGCTTTGTAGTGTAATTTTATTTGTAACATAACAGTGTTTACGTTTGAAAATAAAAATTGGCGGTCATTTTAAATTTATATATATTGCAAAAGTTGACAGTGTTATTGATACGTCATAAACTTAAAAAATCAATTTAAATCCACTTAACTGCCTCCTTGGCCGAACGATTACCTTACTGGACTGCCACGCAGAGGTCCCAGGTTCGATTCCCGGGCTGGGAGAAATATTTGTGTGGCCTGCATATATTTCTCTTGTGAGTTTGGGTGTAATTTGTGGTTGTCTATGCATTTGTCCATGGCACCCGCAATACAGGGTTTTCCTAGTGTGGGACTATGCGTGTGTGCGCGTTAATATTATTATTAATTGTGTCAGTGTAGCACGAAATGAGCAATTGGTTACAGCCTTCATTTCCTAATTTATCATTTCTTACAAGTAAAACGAGCCTTGTGAATCGAGCCTTCTACATTCTCATTTCTCTAAAGTTAGGCTACACTAATTTTCATCAGCTGAACTATACTGTTATACGACGGAACTGCGCCTCTCCAGTACAGTGCCTGCAATGTTAAAATAGCAATATTGTACTGCAAACTTAAATTTTCAGCCGAAAATCATTACCAATACTAACAGAATGACTGAAAAGGCTTCGTATATCTGAAAACAAAGACCACTTTCACCACAATATACATTGTTCCTTAACGAAATAAAAATAGTGAGAGGGCTTCTTGGCAAACGTGCAGTGTAGTTTGTTTCAAACAATAGATGAATATTGGTAGCAGATACTCGAAAATGAACAAAGGGAGTAATTAGTTTTTGTACTTTATCGCTCTATATGGTGTTAATTGCAAAGTTTGTTTGAAACGTTTCAAATCGTTACACAAGAGCTAGACTTGTACATATAAATGTTAAAGCCATAATTTATTGCAGTTTGACAGTACTTTGCCGATTGTCACTTGTATCAAATGTGTAAGACTGTAATTTTTTCTGATACCAAAATGAGGGGACGAACAAATCGTATATCGGCTGGTAAGCGACATGTCTGTCCATAGTAGTTGCTACTCAGAGCTTTGAATCGCAAAGATCTGAGGACATTGCCGCTGTACGGCCGTCACCCTGAGACATAAGTTTTATTTTTATAACATCAAGTGAAGGGACGAACAAGTCGTGCGTCTGATGGTAAGCTACACGCCTGTCCACAACAGTTACAGTGCCACTCAGAGCTTTAAATTGCAAAGATCTGAGGGGCACTACCACTGCGCCAGTCGCCCTGAGGCATAAGTTTAATGAGAAATAGGCAAAATTCTTTAATATTATGTACAATTTTTTGTGTTGTTCGTGGGGTCCAGCATTCACTATTTCCATAAAAATTGGAAGACCCAAAGGCTGAATTACTTACCCCAAGTATAGCCACACAAATGGGGAATGCTGTTAACATTTTGGGACCCAGTTTTATCCATAAAACTTCATTCTGTTATTTAAATAAAAATTGTCTTAAAATAAATGCATAATGGGACCTTAATCGCGTAAATTCATTTTTTCAATCAAACCAACGTTTCGGACCCGTTACAGGTTCTGTGTTCAGGCATAATGTGACATACGCGATTTCAATGTGGGAAAAATAGTTTCATTTTAAATGTATAACGATTGCGAAAAACTGAAAAGATTAAGACGTAAAATACAAAGTTATATTTCATATTTGTTATTATTTTTTAATAATTCTGAGAAGTCCAATAATCCATACTTATAAAATCCATAATTGTATATCAACAAAAACAGCCGCCTCACGCCCCATTTGTTCCGTTTTCGTCCCAAATTTGTCACGTACGGGAGATATAAAAAAAGGTTTACCACTCGCATGCTGATTGCTCCTCATGTTATGTATTACATACCTAACAATGAAAGAAGGTTATTATATAAGGAATTTTCCTTTTCTGAGTGAAGGTCTTCATAAAAAAAACTTATAACTGATTGTTTTAAGTGATTACTAGTTACAGGTATTTATTTATTTGGTTATAGGTTATAGGTTTCTTACCACGGTATGAGTTTTTATTTTCATGATGTTTTAGAACAGTTGTACGCTCCATATTCATGAGTTGATTGGGAAATAGCAGTTGACAACTTTAAGAACAGACATACCTGTTTAACGTTTATCGTTAAGGGGATTATTCCATTAGTACCGTCGACGGTACGTCACTAAGCTTAAAATGTGTGTGTGAACGTTTCATCATAAAGACGGATTTAATTTTTTTCATTGCGTAAAATCCGATACTTAGAGCATACAAGAGCAACAATCAAAATAAAAGTGGTTTGACTTCAGTTTCATGTCTAGATATAGTGAGTGTGGTGTGTCGGGAAAAAATTAGTGACAATGATAACGCCACAAGACGTGATGAGGGTAGTCGTCGACGACGAAAGAGGGTAGACAGATATGCCTGCCCTTCAAACTGTCAACTGCCACTTGCTAGCAAACCCGTGATCGCGGAGCGTGTACCCGCTCTGAAATATATGGTGAACATAAGTCATACCGTGGTACCTGTAATTAATGATACTTGGTAATAATATTCAATAAAGCGTTAAAATAAAAATAAAAAAGTCGATATTTTAGTTATTTCTATGAAAATAGTTCTTCTGAAACTTAAACTTTAAAAATGTATTAATAAGTTGTTGCTACGCGTTATGCTACGCGTAATTCTACGCTTCATGCTACGTGTTATGCAATGCATTATGCTACGCGATCGCCTTTCTCAATTCGCTACGCTCCCGTAGTTACACAGTTAAGCTATCTGATAACAGCTGAATAAATATTTTTACAAAAATATATAAATATTGAAACTTATTTATTAAAATTACTTGCTACCATCTGTGGTTTTGGAATCTTGTATTGGGTACTTAAGTCTTTCGAAATTGTAAAGAAAAATTTCATATTACTTTAAAAATTTTACTTCCCAGCTTAAAACCTTTGAAAGCACGAATAATCGGCTTACGTCGTTACGACGGGGGCTTCCATGTTGTCCTTCCGTGATCAAATAATAAACGGTATAGTAATTCGATTTTTTATAATTTACTTTGATTTTCCTTTTGAAAATAAAAAATTTCAAGTACGTTTTTGCTCATTTATCTTTTGCTCTTTTACAGGTAATGACATAGTTGGTCGACGAATTATACTTCGAAATGTACTGGGTAAGATATCATCCAGGGAAGCAGGAAAATGAGTGATACAGCGTTCCGGTTTTGAAAGATAACAGTTCTCGTGAAACTACAGGCAGTGGAAGTATCACAATTTAAAGCTCTGAGTAACTGCAACAGTTACAGGTAGGCGTGTCGCCTGCGAATTATTATTGGCGCACAACTTTTTCGTCAATACAATACTTGAAAAGAAGACTTATTGTACTTAAAATAATTGTATTTTGTTTATAAGAAAATCCGACCTTAAAAGTTCGTAGAAATACATCTGTTTGCCAAGTTTTATTGAAATTGGTTACTACAAAGTGCGCGAAGTCGGATTCATTTCGAACAGTTAATTTAATTACAACGCCATCTGGTAGATTTAGATTGTACTAGTTGAAAATATCAAACAGTCCGCTTGGGTAAGGTTGATACAGGGTTGATGACAAGGCCTTCCGCACCATAGAGGCGATCCGCCCGGTTCTCGACCAGTGGGTCGATAGGAGACACGGGCTCCTAACGTACCGGCTTGTGCAGGTACTGTCCGGGCACGGCTGCTTCGGACACTACCTGCACAAAGTCGCCCAGAGGGAGGCTTCAACGTCCTGCCATGAGTGCGGCGATGCGGACAATACGGCACAACACACCCTAGAGGTGTGCAATCGCTGGAGTGAGCAACGCCGCACTCTGGCAGCGACTGTAGGGGGAAATCTCTCGCTGCCTAGCGTGGTATCTGCCATGCTAAGCGGCGAGGAATCGTGGGAGGCAGTGGCCTTCTTTTGCGAGGAGGTCATCTCGCAAAAGGAGGCCGCGGAACGGGTGCGCGAAGACGCAGTCGACGCGAACCCGCTCCGGCGCAGGCGACGGGGAAGAAGGCGAGTGCTGTTCGCTGCTCGCCTAATTCCCTAGTGAGGCCAGCGGACAAGAGACGGGGATCCCTTGCCCGCATTGCACGGTCTCACTCGTCGTCTAAGGGGATGGGTTAAGCGTCCGACCCTCCCCTCTTTAGCGCGGGAACTTTGGCAGAAGCCAAGGTGGCCGGGGGCATCGTTGTGGTAGAATCCTCGGGATCCCACGGTGCCCACAACAGCCGGCCAAGGGGGTGCGCCGGGGGTTTTTAGTGGGTATGCCCTCCATCGGAGGGTTAGTCCCACATAACCCTCGAGCCTCCCCGGGCTCGAGGGTATGCATAAAGCATTTCCCCCCGATAAAAAAAAAAAAAAAAAAGGGTTGATGACAAGGTGACAACAAGGGGTTGACAACACGCACGATTCCGTGGTGGAATGAGGAAGACTTGGATCATCGGCCATTTTAGAACCTGTTAATGTTAGTTTTGTTTGATAATTTCAGTTAGCTTCTTACACATATACACTACAGCGCGCCTGCGGTGCGTATGACGCAGATGACGCGCGTTTACGGCGCGTATAAAATACGTTTTATGCATAGGCTCTTAGAAAGGGCAAGCATAGAACTTGGCGCGTTATCGATTGAAATTCGTTTTAACCTAATCCATGTTTTATACTTTCGAATTATGCAGTGCAAAATGGATAAATGAATTAATTAACAATCGACTGACGTTATTATTTCCCCGGCGCCTGAAAGAAATGGCAACGAATGGTGAAGCATCCAGTTATGAAATAATTCCTGACTAAATCAGTGATTGGGGGTGTTTCGGTTGAGCGTGACTTTAGCTCCGGTACCTATCTGGAAAATAGGGTATGTACTGTACGTACACTAGGTGCAGTTCACCCGAGGCACTAGCCTCTCGAGAACCGGATGAAGTCAAGTGACAGAGGCCTGTGACAGCCTGTATAATGGCTGATCTGGGGTCTGTACATTTAATTAGAAATCTTAAATCTGTGCAGTAAGGCGGACACGGTCTAAGACTGCACGGAAGCAGCGACACGTAACTGCGAAATAATTGCTTTCGTTTGATCCCTTGCTGTATCGTTATTACTAAAGCTTTTAGTTATGAAAGTAATGTATAAGATATTTAAGTATTCACTCTTTAGATCATACTCTTTAGAAACACGATACTTGCTTTTACTTTAGTTCGCACGCGGTCCGCCCGTACTACCCAGAGCCGCCACGCTTCCCTCCTCCGCTGTAGTCCTGCTTCGGCCGTCAGACGTGGAGGTTTACACACAAGCAAGTCGCAAGGGCTTACACACGGCTTTAAAACCGTATGCCATATACACGGAGCGCATAAAATACTTAAAATCAATTAGCGCCAGAAGCTCGGTACCCTCTTATACAAATGTAAATAAAAAAACGTAACAATAGGTGCTATGCGGACGTAACAAAATGTTTCACGTATTCTCCCATTTTATATGAGTATGTAGCTACCTCGTGTACGTAATAGAATTCAATCAATTTCGTATTGAATCAACGTATGAAAGCAAATGGGGAGCTCTCACGCACACGTCTTTGTTTCCACAATATAACCGTATAAAACAACTTTATATTATATTGAAGAAAAACTGTTTAGATTTATCATAGACTTTGATAGATAGATATTTGATAAAACTTGCATAAGTGGCGAATTAAAAATGTTTTTAACATTTTAAATGAATATTTGTTAATAATAATGTAATAAGTTTATTTGTACATATGTATTTTTTAAGTACATCAGCCTCACACATCCACTGCTGGACATTGACTGTCTCTGACCTACATTTATTTCTCTTGTGAGGGGCTATGAGTGTGTGTGTCTATTTACATAAGTATCCCCCTAAGTATGTCAACTCTCCTGGTCATACATATGCCGACCGCATGCAGCCGCTACTGACCTTACTCAGGTCGTCCATCCATGTTGCTGCAGGGCATTCTACAATGTTTGTCTTGACGTGGTTGCCACTCTAGAATAAGGCTCTACTCACACTGGCGCAGAGTCGAAGCGTCACGACGTGTCATGTTTTTCTCCTATAGCATATTCATCTCTATTTTCCCATTGTTAAGGTACAAATTTGTGTTTTGCAAATATGGAATCGAGCTTCGACTCTTGGTAACATTCGAACGGCTTCGCGCGTCACTTGGGCGCCGTGAGGCTTCAGACGCCGATAACACGGTGATCCCGGCACACTAATGCGAGTGTCGTCGCGCGATGTAGTTGAAAAACAGGATACGATGTGACACTTCGACTCTGTGCCAGTGTGAGTTGAGTCTAAGTCTGCTCCATCGGTCATCAGCGCTACTGCAGACATGTCCAACGCACTGCCAATTAGGCTACCTGATTTTACACTTCTGTCAGTCGTTTTCCGAAGTATGACTTAATTAAGAATTCGGTCCATCAGAGAAACCCCATGCATAGTTCGCTCCATCGCACGCTGAACGACTTTATATTTGTGAATGAAGCTTGTTGTTAATTTTCACGTCGCTATTTCTGTGATTTTAGTAGCAGTCGAGCTCCTCGGGAAAAAATTCATCCAGGGAAATATATCATAATATATCAAATATATCATGTTTCAAAATTCATAGGTATTCACTCACTTACACTTGTCTCCCAATCAAACTCGAATCAATCTTTTCCCTTTTATTCTTGTCATTTTCTGGCTTTTTAAGGACATTCTAAGTCTAGTGTATAAACGACAAGGTCGATCACGTGTCGATCTACACTCGTACAATAAAACTGCGCCATTATTCTACGAATCTTACCTATTTCTACCGCCAAGCAGTAATATGAACATTACTGCGTTCCAGTTTGGAAGGGTAAGAGTGCTGGTGAAAATACATCATGGGACTTATCAACTTATGTCTTAGGGTGGGCGAAGTGACAGTGCCCTTAAAATCTTTGCGATTTAAAGCTCTAGGTGGCAACTGTTATGTACAGGCGTGTCGTTTACCACCAGGCGCACGAGTTGTTCGTCCCGTTGATATTATAAAAAAAATGTAATTTCTGCATTGTTTGTAGTTTGTTTTCGATATGTTAACTTCTTGGTGTTAACCAGATATTGCAATATACGAGCAGTAATAGTAGCTTAAATAATGAAAATAATGACGTAGTTTTAACATCACCTATTATAGTGGATGAGTCACCGGGTTCTTCCTCCAAACCTCAACTTCACCAGAACATACATTGGATGTCAATTGCAATAACGGAAATAATCCAATAGCTATTCACGCTGATTCAGTAAATGAGGAATCCAGTGAGGAGAGGTGGGAGAATACCGAAGCAAAGGATGAGGACATGGGGCCTGAGCGACCGATGCCAGTTAATGAGTCACCGACTACCGGGCATGAAAGTAATATTGTCGCCGCAACGGATAACTCGTCGCCCAATTCCCAAAGTCGTTATCAATTGCGACCTGGGACTAAATTTAATTATAAGTTTTTAATTGTTGCACGGTAAAATTCATTTGTATTTATTTGGTCTCAGGTTCCCTTAGTTATGATGGTATGAGATGACGTGTATGCGTGACGTCACCGATTTCTCAATCAGATTAATGTACTCGCCGATTGTTGCTTAGGGTGCATCCGACGTTACAGTAAAGGCACCCCCAACTATCTCAACTAACTAGAGAGATATTAATGTTTAAAAACTGCATCTGTGGCCAAATGGTTACCATATCGGGCTGCTACGCAGAGGTCCCAGGTTCGATTCCCGGGCCGGGAGAAATATTTATATCGCCTGCATTTATTTCTCTCGTGAGTTTACAATTTGTGGTTGTCTATGTGTGTGTCCATGGCACCCGCGGCACAGGGTTTCCCTAGTGCGGGGCTATGTTGAGTGTGTGCACTGTGTGCAAATACACATAATCTTATTTAGACAATATTTAATCATAAAAAGAATTCTTCTTGTACATTCGTCACGTAAGACACTCGTCTTTTTCATAGCTCCTTGAGTGATGCTCGTGTAACTAACCATGACAGCATTACAGTGGATCTGGCTAGACCTCGAATTAATGGTCCTATGACTTATATTTTGTAAGTGCTCATATTTTTTTCGCAATTAGATGAGTGGTACACATATAAATAAATAGTTGGTATTTCGTAGAATTACCCCTTAAAAGGAAAGCGATTGCCAGGTCATGCAAAATGGACTGATCAAGTATAAGGCTATAAACTACCACCAATATGGAACAACAAAGTTATCGACAATAAAAATATTTGATAGTAATTATTAATCACTATGTAGAGAAGAATAGAATATTCAAATAGATAGAGATAAGAATATTTGTTCATAATAAAGTGTGATTCCAATTCTGGCTGGATATTTGGAATATTATAGTCAATGGTTTTCACAGTAATTCTAGCGTTATCATAGAACTTATCCGGATTATGTCTTTGGTCTTTGTTATTTCGATGAAAGTCCCCTTTTTGCCTAACTTGTTTGTAGTACAGGTTCACGTCTTCTTTTTCTTATAATAACTGATAGTGAATAAATAATTAGGTACTATATAAAGATCACGTTGCGCTCATACTCTCGTTACGTCACTTTACCGCCGCTAACTAAGCGCCGCCGCCCACTGTCGTCCATTATGTATCAAAAGACTCATCGTCCTTCAAATTTTACACGGTCGTAAAGGGTGCGCTGGACAGAAACCGACGAAGGCAAATGATCCGCTCCAGAAGAAGTTATAAAGCTCATCACGATCCCCAAACAGAGTGAAAGGATATATTGAGAAACTAAAGAATTGCACCTTATATCATATCAAAAGTAATAATAAAATGCAACGAAGCGACTCCCATCGGTTTTACACAGTTAAAAAGGATCAATCAGTATTATAAACGGTCTACGTAAACGCGGGTACGTTAAAGCATGTTTCGCAAAAAATAAAATAATGACATCCATTCGAAATGAAACAATATTTTTGGACATAACTCTCGTTGTTTTTTTTTTTCATATAAACCAACTTAGTCAGCCGTGAACACGGGACTAGTAAAGAGCCCGAAATGTTGTAAAAAACAAA